CCCCAAAACCCCAAAACCCCATGATGATATAATTATGTGAAATTTATGAAATTAAATGTTTATTCATTAGTGATTGTTTTGATACGGCTAAATCTGAATCATCTCCAAAGGTTAAATCTCAGTCTTATCATCTGAAACAGAATTTGAAATGCTTTAATTTCCCCATGTGCTAGAAATAGACATTTCTATTGCCATAAATGCCATTATTTCCTGCTGCTCAGTCTCATCTGTTACAGTAGCTAAATAGCTGTCAATTTCAGAGATCGGTCTTGTTGGAATCATATTTGCTTAGATTTGTTCTGGTTAATCTGTAGGCTAAACCCATTCATTTTCTTCAACAAGTGGAACAAGTTGCTCTTCTTGAATAATTTCTTAAATTTCAGTTTCATCTTGGGTTTCGGCTTCTCTTCCAGTAATTAAAGCCATTATTCTTTCTCTTTCTTCTTCAATTATTCGCCCACCTCTTTCTCTTTCTTCTTCAAACATCCCTCTTCTTCCTAATATATCTCTACCTCTTCCTCCTCTATCTCTACCTCTTCCTCCTCTTCCTCTAAAATTTTCAACATCTTCAATATTAACTTTGACATGAGTTTAATATTCATTGTGCCTTTTAATCAACTTCACTCTGTTTTTGAAAGGAAACATTTTTAATGGATGATACATGTCCCCGTAAATCATAAATATTTAATCTGAGTTTGAGTAAAAAATTAGCTCTTGTATCTTCTTATCTCTATATAGATTGATTTATGAATAGAGAGACCTTATTATCTGATCATTGTAAGGTAAACCTAATTTTTTAAGGTTAAAAAGCGGGGCTATTTAGAGTTCAGTTGCATTTTGTTCTGGATGCTGACGAGCATATCTGTGATTTCTGAACCCATTAATAAAGTAATTTGGATAGCTAGAGACTACTTAACCTTCATCATCTCTCACTTAAGTTGGAAAGTGAGTTTTATAGCCAACTGCTTTAATCCCAAGATAATCTAATTTCTTTAGCTTCTTATAGTTCTGAGCAAGATTATTCATAAGCTTCATCACTTCAAATGAAAGGTAATTGAGATTAAACAGTATAAGTTTCTTGATTTTATTTTTTACATTCAAGATTTTTTTTATCTCCTTGTATTCTCTGCAAGGGATTTCTAGTGTCACGAGATTTGTAAAAAAATTAGCTTCATTGATCCTAGAGTACTAGTATTCTTTTTCATTGTAATTCCAATCTCTGATTTTAAAAGACTCTATACTGCTGTTAGTGATCCTAGAGAAGTCTATTTATTTTTCATCAGATTAAATTTATTTATCCAATAGAATCTCAATTGTAAGCTTTTTCAAATACAAACAATTGTTGATCAGTCTTTCTATTTCTTCAACACCTACTATATCAATAATGACAAGTTTTTGAAGTTTTGGCAAAGATCTAAAAGCAATTGCATTTCTAATACCTTATATTTTACATTTTTATAGTCTGAGTTCTTCTAAATTTACAAATTGCTGAAAGAGATTTGGAATGGTGGGACCCATAAATACTACACCCTAGAGATACAAATACTTGAGATTTGATGTTTATTAATTTTACTGCATGCTATCAATCTAGAGAACTCTTCTGCCAACATACCTAATGTATAATCTTTCTATATCTCTGATAAATTAGCTCTAGAAGAATTAAGTCATGGTATCTTCTGACATTTCGATTTCATCGTAGACTTTAAGACTTTTTAACCTGTATACTTTGTTGAACAAGAAATAATTTAAAGAACTGATTTTATTCTTCCTAATATCTAGATTTTACAAGCTCTTCAATGTTTTTGAAATCATGATGTGAAATATAGACTTGTTGGTTAATTAGTTCTTGCTCAAGTTCAAAGTTTCTACACTCTTCAAATTCTCGCAAGTTGACAAAAGCTCAATAGTGTCATCAATTAACTAGCAGTTTTTAAAATTTACAATTGTGAGATTAACAAGCTTGCACTTTGGTGAGGTAAATAGAAGTATAGAATTTTGCTCGTTAGCAGATTTTTTACCTCTCATACCATCATCAAACTAAATGTCATAAACTCTTGAAGCATCATGGAATTTCGAGATTTTCTTGATATAAACGAATTTAAATCTAGTCCTCAAGTTTTACACTTATTGATAATTCAAAACTGGGTTGCTCTTTATAATGATTTAACACTTTTATCCTTATAAAACTTAATCTTCTTTTGTATCAAATAAACTCTCATACTTTGCTTGCTTATTGAAACTTGGATAAAACAGCGTAATATCTGGTAGAATTAATTACTTGAGATTTCGGAAATACCTTAGAGCAAAGTAAGTATTCTTAACCAAATCAAATTGTAAAGATGAATGAGATTCAATTTCGAAGCCTTCGATGTTTCTTAATCTCTTATATTCTATGATACAAGGTAAAATCATGTTTAAGACTTTTATATTTTTCTTTACTTTATCTTCAACTTGTTTGTGTAAATGCATGGTATCAGTAGTGTATTGTTTGAATATGATTTTAAATTATTTGCATGATATGAAATAGTCCTTAAATACTATTGAGTTTATGAAATGATACAAATACTTGTCTTTGTCGACAAAAAATATCAAGTTAATATTTTCAGCGTTCTTTACAAAAGGATGAGTCATCAAAGGAATAAAATTATTTAAGAAAAATTTGATTGAGATTGATTTGTCAACTTGAACAACTTCCATTCTTTCAGATGTTAAGTAGAGAGTTTCATGATTTATATATCTAAGTTTATGCATTATTTCATTGTAGTTAAAGTAACTCAATATTTCAGAGGTAATGTTCCAATTCAAATCATTGAACAGCTTAATACCATCTCTGTTGGTCATCTTTATTTTTAAAGAATTGAATGGAGTTATAGTATTTTCTAGAATATCATTGTAGTTATGGACATATTTATCACAGTGTGAATAGTTTTTGCATTAGTTAGATAGTTTAAAGGGATCAATATCAACACAAACAGGGAGATTTCTTCTGCTATATCCATTTGGAATAGTTTTGGTGATTACTTGTCTTTTCTTGGAACTTTCGGAAGTTTTTAAACAATCAATGTTGGACTTTGGAACATAATTGACTGGATTTACAGCATGAGAGTAAAAGCATTAGTCTCCAAATTTGCACTTAGATAGTTAACTGTCGAAAAAATATTTACAGGGTTGCCTGTTTTAGTATTTTAATTTCATTATTTAATTATATAAAGCAACATAGATTAATTCCTTAAATATTAAAATAAACCATCGAATACAATTAATTTATTTCACTTCTGATTTTCATATTTAATATATCAGCCAATAAATTAATTATTACTATTGTTACCACTTCAATATATTTACAAATGGGGTTTTGGGGTTTTGGGG